ATACTCTGTGGTAATCAGTAGATAGTGTGCAGATGAAAAGTGATTAATGGCGACGATGAGAGGACAAATAATACTGAAGCTGAAAAACAAAACGGCATATTCATTTTTTACTGTTTTGTTGATTTCTGTTGCTTCAGTCTCCGGAACTGTTGACTGTTTCAAAATAAAGGTTGAGAATGAATAAGGCACTGTGCTGGTTCTGCTTCTAACCCTAACCCTAACCCCTAACCCTAGCTCTGGTTGGAACCAGAACCTCGTCATGGCTACGCTCCAGAGTTCAGGATCTTCTGCGGGTCTTTGATGGTGTTGCTGATGAGGCCTGTTTGGGAGTTGGTGCTGTTCTGACTGTGCAGCCTCATCAGGCCCAGCTGCTTCTCCTCCTCCCCCCTCGTGCTGCCGACCCTCCTCACAGGTAGCTCCACCCTGAGCCTCTTCCAGAAGCGAGACGTCAGCTCCCTGGACTTGTCCCCCTGCCATCGGACCAGCACCAGGGCCACGCGGGCCCTCCTTAGCTCCCTGACCCAGCCCTGACGCTGGATCGGCTTGTACTGGACCAGGATCACCCGCAGGTGCCCGCCCAGCGCCATGCTGTCGATGCCGGCCTGCAGCTCCAGCAGGGCCTGGGACCCCCGGGAGGCGTAACCCGGACTAACGACCACCAGGAGGCGCCGGCTCCGAGTCACGAAACCCAGAGTCTCATCTGTGATGGCTGCAGGGAGACAGGAGCGTTAATGAAGGGACGGATGGAGGAAGGAGGAGAAGCTGTAATACCACCAGGAGTATTGCTGATTTAGCAGTACCGGTGGTAGTACCAGGAGGACCAGCAGTTAGTAATATTAGAAGTAGAAGTCCTAAATCACTTACATTTGTGTTCCTCAATAAAAAGAATAATTAAAGAAGTAGTAGAAGTAACAGTAATAGCAACAAAACAGTAGTAGAAGTACCAAGAGTACTAGCAGGAATACTAGTAGTCTCAGTAGCAATGGTAGAAAGGAGAGCAGCAGCAGCAGCAGCAGCAGCAGTAGTAGTAGTAGTATCAGGTGTGGTAACATTACTAGTAACAGGAATCCTAGTAGTAGTAGTGGAAGGAGTATTAGCAGAAGTGGTGATATTGCCAGTACTAGGAATCTTAGCAGTAGTACCATTAGCAGAGGCTGTACATCTACTTCAAGTCATTGTAGCCTAAGACTTGATCGTACTGCAGTATTACTGAGTACTATACTGCAGTACCACTGTGAACTATACGGTGTACTTATACTGCAGTACTAGCTGTACTCACTCCCTCCCGGCAGACTGTCTCTGTCAAAGATGCAGACTGAGTATCCGAGCTCGTTCTCCAGAATGAAGCGAAGAGTCGACAGAACGAACTGCTCCTCCTCGCTGTTCCTCGCGTACGAGATGTAGACGTCGTACTCTTTATCATCTGGACACACACACACACACACACACACACACACACACACACACACACACACACACTTTACCGTATTGATTACAGATTAGGAGAATTGAGAAAGAACATTTTTCATATTTCTGTGAATCTCCACGTCACAGGAAACAAAGTCAAAATGTCAAAAAGTCCCGTGATGTGATGTGATGTGATGAGATCACCAGAGGAAGTAGCTCAGTTAAACAGTCTTATTTTTAGTTTGAACCAGTTTAGAGAAAATCCTGTTGATCGTTTTCTAAATTAATCTGCAGACTTTAAACTTTCTGTCAACAGCTTTTTGCTCCTTATCGCTGAAACTTGATGGCGTGTTCATGGAAACTCCCACATCTGATTATTTATAATGATATTCAATCCAAACAATAAGTAGCGAACGTAGACGTCAAGAAAATATGATCATTTCTGTTTAAAAATGTCCAGGAACAGGAAAATATTCCAGTTTATGTGTACAAGAACAGTTTCATATGTTACAGAAGATAGAAAATAATTAGTGCACACAAATCCATATGTTGCTCCACCTCTATGTGCAGAGAGCTGAACTCGTGTTAACGAGAGAAAACAGCGAAGGTGAAAGTTTTACAAGCCGTCTCTGAATGCAACACTTCAGAGTTAAAAGCTTTGACATCAAAATGTTTTATTTTGAGTCGTTCTGTTTTGTGGCTGGTTGAATAAAATCTGGCAGCGCGATGAAAACGTTCCAGTCGAAGGTTTTAATAATCTAAATGCTCCGACTGCAGCCAGACAGAAAAGCTCATCAACATTAAAACAGAAGATTTAGTATCAGGACGTAAAAAGTGCAGCGGTGGAGGTGAGGAGGCCAGAAGAAGGCTGCAGCTTTATGACTTCTTCTGCTGCTGTGGTTTCAATTAAACGAAAAGCGCCTACATCATATAAACCTGTTGATGGTTCGTCATGTAGCAGCAAAACACGACGGGTTGTTAGCAGACAGACAGAAGAACACCTGTCGCTCACCTGTGTGTCGCTCATCGGTGCCGAACCATGACCGGTAAAGCAGCAGCAGCTCCAACCAGAAGACGTGATAGACCACGAAGAGGAGCAGCATGAGGACCAGAGTCACACCGAGACCACAACCCAGCTCCAAGGACGGCAGCGGCACTGACGCACAACAAACACAGCAGACGTTTATCGACCTTCTTGTGTTTGTTTGTAGTTGGTGGTTACACAAATAACCCGAGTCCTACGATCTTCAGCTGAGCCTTCGGTTTCGTTCTGATGCATTCATTTAGAAACACTATATACAAACTATAAAGTTACTGAAAGTTTAAAGTTACTAAAAGTTTACATTAACTAAAAGTTAATTTAGTTTAAAATTTCAGCAGGCTTTTAGTTTGAAATTTCAGCAGGAAGTGTTGCATTTCCATCCATATGTTTTAATGCACATTTTGAATTTGTGCATAAAAAAAGTGTCTGATTTGTAAAAGTTTGTATCGATAAAATCAGAAACAGACGAATAAATGAAAACATTTGTGTTTTGAAATTTGTGTAAAATCATATCCATCATTTAAAATGTAGTCATGTATATTCACATCACTGAGTTTAAAGTTACTAAAAGTTTAAAGTTACTAAAGGTTCATCATCTAATGTCTTCAGCTCTTCATGCCCATTGTTGATGATGAGCTTCTTTGACTTTATCACTCGTGTTAAAGCGCGACACCTAACGGCTCAGTAACTCTTCTCTATCTGACTCGTGGTGAGACAGGATCTCACTGCTAGCAACTCAGTAACGAACACAGAACACACGAGAGAGATTAGAGCTTCTTCGGTTCACGCAGATTTATTTGCATCACAAAGAGTACAAGCCTCACAATAGTACTGCACATTACTTTATACCTCCATTCTACCCTAAGTCTGAGTGTCCCCCCCCCTTCGGAGATGTCCTCCTCCTCCTTTGAACTCTCACCTAGAGAAGTTACACTGTGCACCTCGGACAAGTCATAACAAACTAAAAGCTTTTCAGCAGTTCCATATCACTCTTAACTGCTAAGCTTTTAATGTGAAACTTCTGCAGGAAGAGTTTAATTGACGGTAATTTAACGGCAATCAAAAAAACATCAAAGTAGAACTGTTCATCGCAAAGATGAAACAGATTTAAATCTTCTGCTCACCCTCCTCCTCCAGCTGAGCTCTGCGGGTTTCGAAGCCTCGGTCGTTCTTCACGGAGCAGTTGTACTCCCTGTGCAGGTCTTCAGACTGGAAGTCCTGGATCAGCAGCACGCTCTCCTCCTTCCGGTCCCCGAAGACGTTCTGCAGCTGTCTGCAAACAAACACCCACATCACGTAGAGCTCACTATAGAACTAAAGATGTATTACCCATAAATCCTGCATGTGTGACTCTGTAGAGACCTGCTGAGCTCATGACTGGTTGTTGACAGTCATATAGTTTATGAGGGGGGGGGAGGGGATTCAGTTTCTTGCTAAAAAACTCTTTAAGAGCAGGGAAATGTTAGGGGACAGCTACATTCATCTACCAACACATCATATTCATATAACAGACTGCATCTTTTCTTTCCACCTGTTGGTTTTGGAGAAGTGACGCTGGTCGAGTTTATCCAACGTCTTCCCATCAACCGTCCACCAGATCTCCCAGGAAGAGTCGAGGTAGGGGAACAGACCTGTACACACCAGAGGAACGTCTGCGTCTGAGAGGACAATCATACTCACAGTTAGATACATCAGATGAATATAGGCTCCAGTCAATAATCTGACAATTACAGTTAGTTATAAACATCATGATATGAACACAATCCCACGTTATATTTAGTCTCATAATAAGATGATCAACATACAAGCTGTAGTTTATTCTGACTCAAACAAACACCATCCTGCTGCAAAGAATACTCTATGTGTGTCTTTGGTAGTAGATTTGTTCCTCTTTGTAGTTTTCCATCTTTTTGTAGCCATTTTAAGTCTCTTTTTGGTCCTTTTTGCAGCTCTGTGGTTGCCTTGCGTCTCTCTGTGGTTGTCTTGCGTCTCTCTGTGGTTG